CATTGAATGTTTAAAACATACTTAAGGATGATAAATTTTGTTTTTATGTGAGTTACAATATTTTCTTTACTCATATCATTTTTTTTTTAATTTTCAGATCAAAGGAGTAGCTCATTTGCCGATATGATTTGAAGAATGATTTAAGAGTATTGTGCATCGAACAGTATTGTACATTTAAATTAAATTGTATGTGTTATTTGGGCTTCAATGTTATGAACTTTTAAAGAGTCATTGAATTTGTTGTATGTGTTGGGAGTGGCTTGATTATAAATTGAAATATATAATATATATTGTATGAAAATTATTTGTTTAGATTTTTCATCTTATATTTCTGTAGGAAATTTTATAACTTTGTGATGTTGGACCGATGCAAGCTTTCAACTCGCTAGCGCGCGTTGTAGCTTCCCATCTTGATTGACACAAATTATTTTTTATAAATAAAAGAATTATAATAATAATGTAGAAATGATTTTTATTGTGCAAATTTATACATTAATTTAAATATTTTATTTTATTTTAAAATAATACATAAAAAATGTTGAAAGTTAGATATTTTAAAGATGAAAATGTAGCCAAGCTTCTTTCATATGTCATATTTGAGTTTGTATGCTGTTGCTTATCTAATAAATTTGAATGTGCTTTCTTATAAGTCTGGTTGATGCATTGCACAGATATCAAAATGATCAAAGAAGACATATCCATTGAAAATGATATTTGTGTCTACAGCTTTGAGTGCTTCCAAGGTAAAGCTTTTTATTTGTAAGTGGGCTGGTGGCTACAATTAACCTATTGGTCTACGACAAGGGAGTAGAGTTCGCAAGGTTAATTTTTAACGGGGCAGAGGAGAGGATATATGATAAAGAAGGAAGTGTAGAAAGCCAAAAGTGGCCAGCTTGGCCTTAAAGCAAGAAACAAATAACCCTATTGCCCATTTTTGTTCCATCAATCCGCTAATTATGCTATCAATTAGTAAAAATCTAAAGAGTGATGGATGAAAAGAACAATAAGATGCTTCTTCAAATTGCACTAAACAACATATATGGGAATGAAACTAGTCATCTGGTTTAAGCATAGCAGAATCAAAATACACATCAAATAGGTTTCAAGTTTATAAAAGCTTTCTACAATAAATAAAATATTACCCTACATTTAGTTCGTTGGAAGTCATGGGAGAGCCGATCCCACTCCTCGATGGATATGGTCGTCTCGCAACTGAGAAGCTTTTTTTCACTCCTTGATGGACCAAGTGGGGTTCACGAAGACCGAACGATAAAATGATAGAAGAATATATTAAAAAAAATTATTAATTAGGAGATAGTGAAAAAGAAAGTTTTTATATGCAGATAGTAAATATGGAGATTTCATTCAAACAAAATCCTCTTTTCTGGTAGAGCGCCTCCATATAATATTTTATATATATATATATGGACTATTTTTTTTTTACTTTGCGGTTTTACTTATGGTGTGCTTTATATATATATAACAATGACTAATTAATTGATCATCAGTCTCATGAGTTCACTTTGGCTATATATAAGAATTCTTTTGCTCTGATTCAAAATTGGTTCAAAGTTGGTGTGAGGTGTGGCTTTTGTTTCTTCTGGAGCGAAAGGGAGACTTGCCTCTCATTCTCCTACTTCATCCTATCATTATCCTTCTCTTTCTCTTACTGTTTTTTATGAGCTACATTTGATATTTCTTATCTAAGTATATATGAGAAATTATAGTTAAATATACCTCCTTACTTGTTATTAGTCCTTGTTATTTATTAAGAATTATACAAAAATTTAGAGGTTTTATGAGGTTATTAGTATTAGAAATATTTTTTTGATAGACTTGGACATTCCTTTTATTGTTTTATTAGTTATTGAATATGGTTTATTGATTTCATCCTTTTTACTCATGCGTGAAGCCCATCAATGAGATTAAAGAAAAACTTTGATTCATAGTGAAAATATTTGTTTCATCTAGTAATCACTATTTTTTGTTTTGTCAAGGATATTATAAAATGATTAAAATGGTATACTATAGTTTGATGTTTTATGAAACTCAAGAATGTGATTTTTTTATAAATGTTTTTAGATTTATGACACTTATAGCTTGTATTTTATTAAATTTAAGCTTATAATCCTTGTTGTTGTTATTATTGTTCTAATGGTCTCGTTATAGGATGCTGCTCTTTACTAAGCAGTTTTTGTTATTCATGATGGCATTGTTAACCAAACATTAGGTGAGATATCAAGACTAGGCTAAAATGATATGTCAGATATCTCATGGGTTGACAATTACAACTTAGACTTAAATTACTCATTTGTTACGAGGAAGATGATAAAAGTGATGATGTGTTTGAAAATGGATTGACTGAAGAAAGGTAATATTGATCCTAATATTTATACTTTATTTTATGTTGTTAGTGAGCAAGCTAGTTTAAGTGAGAATATTATGATAATAATATTGAAGGAATGCTGGTTGAAAACAATGGTAGCCAAGATGATATTTTCTTGTTATATATCATGGTTTATTATAATGAAGATGATAAATTTGCTTCAAATGATATTTTCATTGGTTAGGTATAAACCATATATATGATTTTTCTAATAAAGTTGTGAAGGAGATCTTTCCAACAATAAATTATGATTATTGTTTGATTCATCTTTTAAAAAATACAATGACTGATGTACAAGAAAAAAAAAACTATTTGATGGAATTGCTTTCTCATCCTCGAAAGTCCTACAACCGGTCGAACTCACGCTCCCAGAAAACCAAAGTGGTGGAAAATTGGTTCCAATAATTGATGCTGCACCCTCCTCATGTGCGTAGCACGTGCAGACTCCAATAATTGATGCCGCCAACCGCCCTTTCGACGGCTTCTTCTCGAGGAGGAGAAGTCGTTGCAGCTGAAAATATCCATCTACTCTGAGAATCCTCTAACCTTTGTGCTTGGAGAAAGAAGGATCAGCCCTGCACTGCGATGTCGTCGTGGATATTAGCAGGCTTGGGATCTCTCGGACAGGCGTTAATCGGGAGAGTGAAGGATCAGATCAGCGACTGTTTGATCGGAAGGGTTTTGGAGGAGCCCGGAGTTGCTGACCTCGACAAGCTGAGGAATACTCTTTCAGGGACTGAGCGCATCATCGGCAGAGTCGAGAACATGTGGATTAAAGATGAAGACACGAAAAAGCGATTGAAGGAATTGCTGATGAAACTGAAGGACACTGTTTATGACGCTGACGACTTGCTTGATGAGATCCAGTTCCCGGTTCTGAAGCAACAGATCGAGCAACAAGGAGCTCAGGGGTATGAGGCAAGTAACCAATCATCATCTTCTTCTGGTCTCCATCCGAGTAAAAGAAGAAAACTTTATGAACGTGTCGGTCGCTTCTTCGGTAGAGAAGATGATGTGATTAGAGTGGGGAAAATTCAGATGAAGTTAGATGAATATACTACTTACATCAAGGATTTCATTACTACAACAGATGCTGATGAGAAACAGATGATAACGTCAGTAGTGCCTCGAACCACCACTTCCTTTCCGATAGAAACTCAAGTATTCGGACGAGAGAAACAGCTGAATCACCTTCTGGAACAGTTGATGATATCGGCCGATGGATCCGGATCCAGCAACAGTAGCATCTCTACCTTGACTATTGTTGGGATCGGCGGGGTCGGAAAGACTACTCTTGCTCAGCATGCCTACCACCACGAGAGGGTGAAGGACTATTTTCATCATAAGGTCTGGGTCTGTGTATCAGACAACTTCAACGTGGAGAGGCTTACCAAAGAGATCATAGAATCCTTAACCCAGAATACGTGTGATCTCAACAACTTTGATACACTTCAAGTGGTTGTTAAGGAGAAGTTGACCTCAAAAAGGTTCCTGCTTGTCCTCGACGATGTGTGGAACGAGGACAGCCTGAAATGGGAAAGATTTTGTGCACCATTGAGGTACGGAGAACCAGGAAGCAAGATTTTGGTTACAACTCGCTCTAAAAAGATTGCAGAAATGGTTGGCAATCCGATCCCTCTAGGAGGTCTGGATGAAGCCAGCTATTGGAAATTGTTCAAAAAATGTGCATTTGGTTCCAAAGACGCCGGTGAATTTCCACAGCTAGAAGCCATAGCAAAGAAGATCGCTGGCAGGTTGGAGGGGTTGCCACTTGCGGCAAGGACGGTAGGCGGGTTGTTGAAGGATCCGATGAATGAGAAGCACTGGAGAAACATCGCAGAAAGTGAAATCTGGCAACTACAGCAAGACGAACAGGGTGTCCTGCCAGTCCTACAATTGAGCTATCAATGTCTTCCCCCACACCTTAAGCGGTGCTTTGTTTTTTGTTCCCTGTTCCCCAAAGATCATCGGTTTGAAGGAGAGCACTTGGTCAGGCTTTGGATGGCAGAAGGCTACGTTGCTCAAGACAACAATATGACGATGGAGGATACAGGAAGCCGCTACTTCCTTGACTTAGTGAATAGGTCTTTCTTTCAGGAAGCTCCTTGGCGATCGAAATATGTGATGCATGACCTCATACACGATCTTGCTCAATTTATTTCAGATGGAGAGTTTTGCAGGATCGATGATGAGTCGAAAGAGATCCCTAATACGACTCGTCATCTATCAACAAAATTAACCGATGGAACTAAGTTAATGGAGCTCTCCTGTTATGATAAATTGCGGACCCTCTGGATCAATTCCAGAAGTATTTGGTTTGACTCTCCAGTCGAGAGCCCTTTGTTCATTCAGTTTGAAAAATTAAAAAACATTCGAGTGTTGCTATTGAAGAACTATGGCTTGCGGGAGTTGCCTGAGACAATTGGTGAGTTGATACACCTCCGCTACCTTGATATATCCTACAACCGTTACATTAGGTGGCTGCCGGAGTCATTATGTGATCTTTATAATTTGCGAGTACTGGATCTGCAGGACTGTAAACTACAGAGTTTCCCGCACGGCATGAGCAAGTTGATCAACTTGATGCATCTTAACGCAGCAGACGAAATAATTTCCAAGATAAATAATATTGGGAAGCTGACTTCTCTTCAAGGATTATCTTCATTCAAAGTACTCAAGGATCAGGGACACGAGGTTGCCCAATTAGGCAGTCTGAAACAACTTCATGGACGACTTCGAATTACCAACCTCGAGAACGTTGAGAGTAAACAAGAAGCAAACAAGGCTAATCTGAACAACAAACAGTACCTTGATGAACTAGTCTTAGGATGGACATCAGATGATGGCGCTAGTTTGGATGGCAATGAATTAGTTGTGTCGGAGGAGGTACTTGAAGGTCTCCAACCACATCAGGCTCTCCAACGTTTGATGATCGTAGGGTACATTGGTGTCAGATCACCCAGTTGGCTGCAGGCACAATTGTTAGCGAATCTGAGAACTCTTATATTGATAAACTGCAAAGCATGGAAGGATCTTTCATATATTGGACAGCTACCGAATCTCAAGAAACTTTACGTGAAGAGAATGCCTGCAGTGAAACAAATAAGTCATGGATTAAGTACAGAGAACAAGTTCTTGCATAATCTGGAAGAGCTAGTGCTGGAGAACATGGTGGCATTGGAGGAACTCCCGAGCCTTGGACGACTGCCGTGTCTTAAGGATCTTCGTATCCAGGGAATGTCAGCAGTGACGAAGGTAGGCCACGGGTTCTTTGGTTGTAGAGATCGAGGCAAGTGTTTTCCATGCTTGGAGGTGCTCAATTTCAGTTCCATGCCAGCATGGGCAGAGTGGTCTTGGGCTGATGGTCGAGAGTTGTTTCCCTGCTTGCTAAAACTTCAAATTGTACAATGCCCGAGGCTTAAGAGGATGCCTCCCCTCCCTCCTTCACTTAAATCACTGTCATTATGTAAAGTCGGGTTGACAGAAGTTCCAAGGTTATGGGCAGAAATCGATGGAAGTAGCAGCAGTATGACCGTTTCAGAATTGAAATTATATAGTCTCGAAAAGGTCGAGCTGGAGGACATCCCAAAATGTGAGGGACTCCCTTGTCTTGGTC